TCACGTCTTCCAGCAGCCTTCCTTCTACCCGAAGCTCCCAGGAGGCAACTGTGCCTTCACCATCCTCTGCATCTGACTTGGCTGGGTTGAAGGTATTGGAGATAAAAATACGTAGCTTTCGCTTTTGCTAAGAGAAAAAGCATCAGCTAAATGTTAATTTTGAAATAAAGGATCAACTATATTATGTTTTGCTAAAACTAAGAGGTTCAGTATCCTTATCTATTTCATATTCTACCTCTCCCAGGACGGGCAGCAAGGAAAGAGGAAATCAGGCCTTCCTGGCTCTGCTCCTCCGTTGGCATCTGGAGTACTAAGGTTCCTGATACACTGTGCTTACAGCGACAGGACCCAAGTTTCAGTGCACTCCTGCTCTCTTAACTAAGGTAAGAGTCTCCAGTCCTTGCTTACAGTAACATTGAACATAATCCTCTCTACCTTAATGGGTCGCTTCAAGGCCTCTTGGATATCCAAGCGTTTCCGCATGATCGTCTGGTCCAATTTCCTTTCGAAGGCCAGTAAGTCCATATAGGCCTGAGACTCAGGTACAAGTTCACGAATCTACAGCAGAGCACAAGCCAATCAAGAATGCAAGTCACCGTTAACTCCCCCACACTTCTCCGATCTACTGCATCTCAACAGAAGCTGCGAAGGCACATGCCACTCACCCTCTGAGGTAGAATTTTGTCAGCCATCTTCTTCTTTTTAGCGCTGTTAAGGAAGGAGATGCACACACACATGCATTAAAATGGCAACCACTCTGTCCTATGTAACTGCAGGCATTCGTGAAGGGCGTGAGGATGACGGGTTATTCTCTGGTTTAGTGCTGCAGCATTAGCAGTGCTCTTAGCCTGGGTGCCAGCCGTCAGTCCAGCCTCTCATTTTCAGAGGCACTTACTGCTTCCAGTCCCCACACGCAGGCAGGCTCTTTACTCCCCACAGCCCCTGCCCCACGAGGCAGCCAGTGCTGCAGAGCTGACAAACGCTGCAGCACCGTGACTAACCAGTTACCTGAATGCTTCGCGTCCCCTCCGAGAGCTCGGGAAGTGGGGTTACATCATGTTGAAAGGGGCATGCTGACATAATATCGGGCCAAAGTGACTCTCAAGCCTAATTTAGCTTCAGTTTGACATGCTTTAAACCAAGAAATGAGTTAACAATGATGCTAAGGCTGCCATTATACTGCCAGAAACGTAACAAGCTTGCCCTTGTCTAGCAGCTGCACATTAACGCTTTTATCGGCTGGAAGCTCCCCTCTCCCCAACAAGTAGCTGCCCAAGGAAGCTCAAGTCCCTTTGAGCCGCCCAACAAAAAGCGGCAGTGAAAAGCCCAGGCAGGGCAGGAAGGCAGC